GGTGCTCGGAAAATTGGACAGGTACATGAAAAAAAAATGAAACTAAACCATCAACTTACATTATACACAAGAATAAACTAAAAATGGATAAAAGACTTAAACATAAGTTGTGAAACCATAAAAATCCTCGAAGAAAATACAGACATCTCACATAGCAGAATTTTCACTGATACATCTCCTAGGGCAGTGGTCGGCAAACTCATTAGTCAACAGAGCCAAATATCAATAATACGGTTATTTTCAGAGCCACATTTTTTAAACTTAAACTATACAGGTAGGTACATTGTTAGTAACTTAATTAGGGTACTCCTAAGGCTTAGGAAGAGCCACACTCAAGGGGCCAAAGAGCCGCAGTTTGCCGATCATGGGCTCGGAGAATCTTTTCTTTTTTTAACGTATTTTTTTTATTTCAGAGAGGGAGATTGAAATATCAAACACTGCGCAGGATGGCGCTGGCCCTGCGGATGGCGGCCATGCGCAGGTCCGGGCGGTACTTGTTCCTGCGGATCATGTGCCGGATGCTGCTCAGGGTGGCCCGGGCGTTCTTGTTGATGGTGGTGCGCACGTAGGAGGTGGCAGGCTTCCGCTGGCCTAGGGGGGCGAAGGGTCAGTGAGGTGGCCTCGGCCTTTCCTGCCCTCCCAGGTGCGAGGGCACAACGGCATCCTGAGAACCTGAGTGCCAGCGCCTGGTAGGCAGCCCGCTCCATCTCCACAGCTTCCCGGGACAGCTGGCTGGTTTGCTCAGTGGATAGAGCATTGGCCTACAGACTGAAGGGTCCCAGGTTCGATTCCAGTTAAGGGCACATGCCCATGTTGTGGGCTCGACCCCCCAGTAGGGGACGTGCAGGAGGCAGCCAATCAATGGCTCTCTCATCATTGATGTTTCTATCTCCCTTCCTCTAAAAAAAGCTGACCCAGCCGGTGTGGCTCAGTGGCGGAGCCTCAACCCGGGATATGGGCTCGCTCCCCAGCAGGGGGCGGGCAGGAGGCAGCTGATTGATGATGTTCTCTCTCATTGATGTTTCTATCTCCTATCGCTCTCCCTTCCTCTCTCTCTAAAAAAAATCAATAAAAACATTTAAAAAGAAAAAGATTCCCGGGACACTCCACAGGGCCAGGCCACAGGACTGTACAGGCACCTCCCCGTCTCTATGTGTGAGACACAGCAACCCCCACCATCTCCTGAGCAGACATAGGACGAGCACTTCTGTCCAAAGTCAGACACACACAGCAGCTTCCGGAATCCAGGCCGCCCGAGCCTGGGCACAGAGGTGAGGCGGGCACTCGGCACCGTGCTGGCCCGTTAGTGACCCTCCAAGCCCGGCAGCTGCCTCCTCTCCCGGCCCCACCTTCCCGGGATCAAGGCACCCACTCTGAGCAAGGGTCTGAAAGGCCGAGCGAAGGCCTGGCCCTGACGGGGAGTCACCGCTGGCCCGAGGTGGGGAGCCTGGTGCACAGGGGTGTCCGGACCCCACTGCCCAGAATTCAGCCCAGGACCCGCCTCCATGCCTGGGGTACGGCTGAGTCACTGACCCCGGAGCAGGGCCCACAGTAACTGCCCAGGTCGGTCTAGTTCCTGACAGTCTGGGAAAGGCCACTGGGCCATCCAAGACGGGCAAGTTTTTAGGACCCGATGCACCCGAATGAGGAGCGTAGACATCGAGAAGCCCCCTGGCGCCAGGTGGTGGGTGCCCTGGGGCTGCGACCCCGAGAAGGGACCCTCCTCCTGCAGGACGGGCAGGAGTCCCTGCCATCAGGAGCTGGCAGGCCAAGGCCACGGCTGACACGGAACAGAGCGCTGAAACCCGACCCAAACGGAATCTGGCCTCGCCAGGGACCCGGGAAAAGCTCATTCCTCTTAAAAACCACCCCAACGAACAGAAGTGGTGGCAGTCCGACGCCCACGACTCAGAACTCCCAGAGCTCCTCCAAGACACCCAAATGCCTACCGTGCAGTTTAGGGGGGCGGATGCTCTCCTCCAGCCCACAGAGGAATGGGGGGAGGGGTATTAAACTGCTGTTTCCAACCCAGCCTGTCACCTGCAAGTGGGAGCTAGAAGGAGGCTCACCGATGTGCCTAAATTTTCCCACCGGCACCAAGATGGAGACACCCCCCCCGCCCCAAGCTGGGCGGTTTGAAGGCTTTCACCTTAAAACACCGGCTCCTGGGCAACTCTGTAATTTCATCCTAACCACCACCACCAGCACATAGAGCGCAGATCTTGTTAATTCCTCCACTTTGCAGAGGACAAAACAAGTGAAAAAGGCCCGGCCAGCGCCCACCGAGGGCGGGATGGCCAAGGGGGGGAGCAGCTTCCCAGAGGGAATACCCTGACCCAGGAGTCCCAGGGGCAGCATTACTCCCCTCGCCCAACACTGATCGCCCCCAGCTCCCTGCCCCGACCTGGGCCGAGCGGGGGCAACGCTCACCGGATCTCCGCTTCATGATCCCCACCACCCCTTTGCCGTCGGGCGCCGGCTCCACGCCCACCGTCTTGCGGTGAATCAGCCCGTTGTAGCGGAAGGAGTTGCGGGCCTTCAGGTTATTGGGTTCCTGGGAAGGGAGGACGCATGGGGGTCGTGAAGAGGTGGGCGGGGGAAGGGGGTCACGGAGCCCGCGAAAGCGCCTCCCTCCGACCCTGGAGTCCCAGCCCCACGTATGGTGCTGTAGGTCTGCTTGTTCCTCTTGATCAGGAAGCTGGAGCAGTTCCGCACGATCATCCATTGCAGATGGGCAGACATGGCGGCAGCTGCGGGGAGAGGGGCGCGGGAAGGTGTTAAGCCAACGCCGGGCCCCAGCAGGACAACCGAGGGAGGATGTGAGGGACCTGGCGATTGCAGATGGGCAGACATGGCGGCAGCTCCTCACGCTGCGGCAGCCGGAGACGGAAAGAGGCACGCAAGGGGCGGGGCGACGCCTTTAATACCGATACGCATTTCCGCTTCCTCTCTGGGAACGCGCGCGTCGCCTCCCGACCCCGCCTCCGAGGCGGCTCGGCAACGTTCGGCTGTTTCCGCCTTCCCGTCGCACACCGCTCGGAACTCTTCGGCCGGAGACCCGAAGGCGGGTTCTCAGACGCGGAGCTGCGCCGTTCCGGGACCGCTCGTTTGTTTCCGGAACTTTACGACTGGATTTCCAACTGGGTACAGCCCTTTCGTCAGCGGCCTCTCCCCTAGGACTGCTCACCCAGCGCTTCGCACTGGATGGGCGCTTCGCACTGGATGGGCGCTCAGTAAACATTTGTTTTAGGGTTTATGTTTATGAATGAACATGTTGAGTGCGTGAACTCTTTTAAGCCAAGCCCCGGTGCTTCCGGTCTTCTCCGTAAGCTCTCGGCTATTGCCGACGAAGGCTCGCTCGGGCGCCTTCGGAACTCTCCGGAAATGCTCTTCGGAAAGGGTGGCAGCCTTTCTTATTGGCCCCTGCCGGGTTCGGGGCTGTTCCGGCACATTGGGAACCCTTCCGAACCCCGGCAGGCCCCTCATTTCCCCTCTTCAGGGTTCTTTTGGAATAAACTCTTGAAGTTCTGGTCTAGAGAGAAGCTAGACCTGACTCGTCACAGACAGCCATGCAGGGGAGCGTGGGTTTCCTCTAAGGGCGAATTGTTTGGAGGAAAAGAGATTGGCCTGGGAAAGCCCTGGGTTCGTTCCTTTGCAGCGGTTCTCAACCCGTGGGTCGCGACCCCTTTGGTGGTCGAACGACCCTTCCACAGGGGTCGCCTAAGACCATCCTGCATATCAGATATTTGCATGACGGTTCATAACAGTAGCAACATGACTGTGATGAAGTAGCAACGAAACATGAGGAACTGTATTTAAAGGGCCAGAAGGTTGAGAACCACTGCAGGGGGTCCCCATACCTGTCCGCTCAGCCCCCTCCCCATTCTGCCTGTAAGTCCACTAGGTTCCACCCCATCAAACTTCCTGGGAGTCCACTTTCTGTTCCTTTCGATCCTGTTCGTTTTCAAGGTCACATACCTGTCCGCTCAGCCCCCTCCCCATTCTGGGGAGTCTACTTTCTGTTCCTTTCGATCCTGTTCGTTTTCAAGGTCATCTTGAAGGGGCAGGAGCCTTGCCTGATGTCTGGGTCCTCAGTTCCCAGCCTCCCCAGCACAGGACCTGGCGGAACCGCTGCTGAACAAAAGCAGCGACCATGCCTTCTGTCACCGCCACGAACATAAGGTTCATGAACCCGACGGCGGGGTCAGAGTCCTGTGAACGGCCCACCTCTGTGCCTTCCGCTGGGAGTGGCCCCCAGGAGGCTCCAGGGGACGGGCCATGCGTGAGCCCGCGTCCCACAGCTCCTTGGGGTTGAGGGCCTGGTCTGAGCCTCGCTTTTGACCCCACCTGACCCCACCGTGGGTGCACGGGGGGCGCCTGGGGGCGGGCGGAGCAGAACAGGGCCCAGGCTTCCCCCACGCCCTGCCCTGCCCGGCCCTGCGCTGGCTCCATTACAGCGTCCTCACTGTTGACCATGTGTTGCTTCTGCCTCTTGGGGTGCAGGGGCCCTGGGCCCCCCAAATGCCTCAGCCCCAGGCCCTGCACG